AACAGGTTCATATTGATAAAGCATTTGGTGCTTGACACATAGTAAGTGCTATCCTAATGTTAGTTAAATAATAAATCTCCTAAATGCTACTGTGTTAAATTTCCAGGATGAAACTCTTTTTTAAAAAGATTATTTATCTATTTATTTATTCATTCATTCATTCATTCATTTTCAGAGAGAGGGGAAGGGAGGAAGAAAAAGAGGGATGGAAAGATGGATGTGAGAGAGAAACATCTCAGATGCTCCCAACTAGGGACATGGTCTACAACCCAGGCATGTGCCCTGACTGAGAATCAAACAGGTGACCTTTTGGTTCACAGGCCTCTGCTCAATCCCCTGAGCCACAGCAGCCAGATCCCAGGATGGAACTTTGGCATGTGATATAGTCGTACATAGAATGAACACATTTTTATGCTAGTTTCAAGTCTCATATCAGCAAATGTAATTATTTTATGGTGTTAGAGGATTATGAAGAAGCTCCCAGAGAAGATGACACAAAGGTGTAACCAGAAAAGAAAGTCATAATAGAGGTAAATAAGTGAAGCTACTATGTATTCCAAAATCTGCACTAACTGTCATGGTAGCCAATAGCCACATGTGCCTATATAAATTTAAATTACATAAAATACAATAAAATAGCCCTGGCTGGTGTGGATCAGTGGATTGAGTGCCTGCCTACGAACCAAAAGGTTACCAGTTTGATTCCCCATCAGAGCACATGCCTGGGTTGTGGGCCAGGTCCCCAGTAGGGGGCACATAAGAGGCAACCACACATGATGTTTCTCTCCTTCTATTTCTCCCTCCCTCTCCTCTCTTTAAAAATAAATAAATAAAACCTTTAAAAAATAAAATAAAAATTTGGTTCCTTAATCACACTGGCCACATTTCAACCGCCTAATAATCACACATGGCTAATGACTATCATATTGCACAGTAAAGATCTAGAACATTTCGATGATTATGGAAAGTTTTCAATTAGCAATAACTGTACCTCAAATAGACCTCATTGGCTATGATACTTTCACTGCACAAAGCTTCATTACAGAAAGATTATTGGACAGTATGGATATAGATTTTTAAAAAAGATTCTATTTATTTATGTTTAGAGGGGAAGGGAAGGAGAAAGGGAGAGAAACATCAATGTATGGTTGCCTTTTGTGCATCCCCTGCTGGGAATTGGCCTGCAGGGAACCGGCCTGCAACCCTGGTATGTGCCCTGACTGGGGATCGAACCGCAATTGTCTGGTTTGCAGGCCCGTGCTCAATCCACTGAGCTACACCAGCCAGGGCCTTGGATATAGATTTTTAAAGATGGACCCACTTAATGTAATTCAACTTTTATTTCAACTAAGGCAATTTCTAAATGTGTGATTTGTCAGACTTTCTACATAAGGAGGCTCACAAATTCAAAACATTTTTATAAGGTATGCATCCTGATTTGGGGTTTTATAAATCACAGACTCATGAAACTCAAAGTGCCAGGAAAAACTAAAATCCTGTCCACAAAATAGGCACATGATATTTGCCACTTCTTCCAAGCTGATAGAGAGTATGAGTCAATGTGTTTTAAGGGTGACTGTCTGGATTATGGGTAGAGATGTCCCTGGGAATGTTCAGGGTGTATACTTGGCTGGATCTTTCTGGGTAGTGAGCAAAGAACCTTCCTGTTGGAGGAAAAGAGGCAGAAGTAAAGATATCACTCAACTTTCCTTCAGTATTTGTCTAGTTCTTAATTATTACAACTGAAGTAGATATAATTAATAAATATAAATGGCAATGAAATATCAACTAGACAATTTGTGATGAGTTGCTTTTGTTTTGCCAGCAATGTCTTGATTGTTGTCTGCTGACACTATATTTATCAGCCTCCTCTTAAAGGATTTTGTGTAGATTCAGATACTTCTTTCTAAACTAACTCTTTGGCTGCCTTCATAAAGTTCAAAACTAAAAAAATTCTCCAGAAATTGTTACAGACAATTACCTGGACTGGACTGATCTCATTTTATTACTGTAGCCATGATTTTGGTACTTATTCTTGGAAAAATGCAATGAACAGTCCTTTCCACCCATTGCATTTACCTTAGTAAGATGGATTATTGTCTAGAACATATTATGGTATAAAGGCAATGGCAACAGGGAGGCCATGTTCTATCAAAATGCTTAGAATTCTATCATTACTGATTAAATATTTGAGTTATATAATACCTTATATTTGGATAGACAGCATGAAATGACCAGCACTTTTACTCACATAAGTTCACTTAATACTAAAAAATCTTATGATTAAGGTAATTATCACATCCAGCAATACATTAAAGAAGATCATGCACCATGACCAAGTGGGATTCATTCCCACTTGGGGGATGCAAATAAATAATATACTACATAAACAAAACAAAAGACAAAAATAACATGATCATATCAATAGATATGGAAAAAACATTTGATAAGGTACAGCATCCATTTATGATAAAAACATTCAGCGAAGTAGGAATGAAGGGAGCATTCTTCAACATAATAAAGGCTATATATGAGAGACCTATAACCAACCTCATACTCAATGGACAAAATCTCAGAGATTTTCCACTAAGATCGGGAAACAAGACAAGGATGCCCACTTTCACCATTCCTATTCAACATAGTACTGAAAGTCCTAGCCACAGCAATTAGACAAGAAAAAGAAATAAAAGGCATCCAAATTGGAAAGAAACAAAATTATCACTGTTTGCAGATGACATGATAGTATACATAGAAAATCCTACAGACTCCACCAAAAAACTGCCCCACCTAATAAATGAATTTGGTAAAACAGCCAGTTACAAAGTCAATACTCAGAAATCCAAGGCATTTTTGTACACCAACAATGAAACATCAGAAACAGAAATCAGGAAAAAATACCATTTGATATAGCAAGAAGAAAAATAAAATACCTAGGAATAAACCTAATCAATGAGATAAAAGATCTGTACTCAGAAAACTACACAACACTGAAGAAAGAAATGAAGCAAGACACAAACAAATGGAAGCATGTACCATGCTCATGGATTGAAAGAATTAACATCATCAAAATATCCATACTACCAGAAGCAATTTATAGATTCAGTGCAATACCTCTTAAAGTACCAATGGCATATTTCACAGATATAGAACAAACATTTCAGAAATTTATATGGAACTATAAACACCCCTGAATAGCTGCAGCAATTTTGAGAAAGAAGAACAAAGCAGGAGGGATCACAATACCTGAAATCAAACTGTATTACAAGGCCACTGTAATCAAAACAGCCTGGTACTGGCATAAAAACAGGCACATAGACCAATGGAACAGAACAGAGAGCCCAGAAATAAACCCAAGTCTCTATGGTTAATTAATATTTGACAAAGGGGGAAGTAACATAAAATGGAGTAAAAATAGCCTCTTTGACAAATGGTGTTGGGAGATCTGGATAGCTACATGTGAAAAAAATGAAATTCAATCACCAACTTACACCATACACCAAAGTAAATTCAAGGTACATAAAAGACTTAAATATAAGTTGTAACACCATTAAAGTCCTAGAGGAAAATATTGGCAGGAAAATCTCAGACATTCTGCACAGCAACATCTTCATGGATATGTTTCCTAAAGCAAGGGTCATAAAGGGAAGAATAAAAAAATGGGATCTCATCAAATTAAAAAGCTTCTGCATGGCTGAAGAAAACAGCATTAAAATGAAAAGAGAACCAACCGTATGGCAAAACATATTCGCCAATGACGCCTCAGACAAGAGCTTGATCTCCAAAATATATAAAGAACTCACATGACTCCACTCCAGGAAGACAAAAAATCCAATTATAAAATGGGCAAAATACTTGAACAGACACTTTTCCAAGGAAGACATACAGAGGGCCCAGAGACACATGAAAAGATGCTCAGCATTACTAGCCATCAAAGAGATGCACATTAAAACTACAGTGAGATACCACTTCACACCAGTCAGAATGGCCAATATAAACAAGTCAACAAACAACAAGTGTTGCAGAGGATATGAAGAAAAGGGAACCCTAGTGCATTGTTGGTAGAAATGCAGACTGGTGCAGCCATGGTGGAAAACAGCATAGAATTTCCTCAGAAAACAAAAAATGGATCTATCTTTTGACCTGACAATTCCACTGCTAGGATTATATCCTAAGAACCCTGAAACACCAATCCAAAAGAACCTATGCACCCCAATGTTCATAGCAGCCAAGTGCTGCTGCATAGCAGGCTACTAATTTACAGTAGCCAAGTGCTGGAAGCATCCTAAGTGCCCATCAGAAAATGAGTGGATCAAAAAACTATGGTACACTTACACAATAAAATTCTATGCATCAGAGAGAAAGAAGGAGCTCCTATCCTTTGCAACAGCATAGATGGAACTGGAGAGCATTATGCTAAGTGAAATAAGCCAGGAGGTGAGCCACAAATACCATATGATCTCACCTTTAACTGGAACATAATCAACAAAAGAAAAAAGCAAACAAAATATAACCAGAGTCATTGAAATGAAGAACAATCTAACAATAGTGAGAGGGCAGGGGGGAGGGGAGTGTGGGAAGAAGGGTTTTCAGGAACTACTATAAAGGACATGTGGACAAAACCAAGGGGGAGGGTGGAAGCAAGAGAGGGAGGTGGTTTTGGAGGGGGTGGAGGGAAGGGGTGGGGAGAAAATGTGGACAACTGTAACTGAACAACAATAAAATAATTCATATAAAATATAATTATCTACATTTTTACAGTTGAAGAAACAGGTTTGGTGAGGGAGAGAAGTATAAGTCACTAGCTTAAAGTCACTGATGAAGGCAGCAGATCTGGGACATGGACTCCTTATTCCAAGGCCAGTTCTTTTTCTATCACCCAAAAGCCATCTTGGCTTTATTCTTAGTGTCTATTTTTTTTTAAATCCAAAATGTGTTTATTGGGATGGTTCCCCATTCACCTTGATTTGGGTGCTTTAGAGCTGCTTCCTTCTGAAGGAACATCATTTGTCAGCCTTGCTCTTTCCTCTTGTAGGCTGACAGAGGATAGTGGGGCAGGCAACACACCAAACTACTGTTCGTGTATGGCTGATAATGGTGGTGATTTTAAAGCATCCTGGGCATTTCACATCCATGGTGTGGGAACTGATGGCTCTGCACCAGGCACCTATGTTTCTTCTTCTTCTCATCTTCTTCTCAAAGGGCTGGAGATCCTTAGTGAGAGGCATGTTGTTCTGAGGAGGTCATCTGGGCTGGAAAGCCTTAGTGCCTACTTTTAACATTGCAAATATCCTTAAAAGGATTAAAATATCTAACTTCCATAAACCACCCATACCTTAGTATAAATTAGAAAATCACCTTGATTTTCTCAGTGACCAGAAGCTTAGAAAAAATTTCAGGGTGGGATTTTAAAGGCTATTTTTGCAAATGCTGGACCCTCAAGGAATGGGGGTATTATTGATGGTGTGAGGAGAGCATCATTTGAAGCTTGAGGGAAGAGTCTAAATACAATGATGCCTGTGACCAGAGGCTTCAGGGAATCAGAGTAGCAGGACATTGTGGGGACACCCACTTAATGGGAGGGGAAGACAAAAAGAAAAGGAAAGAAGAGGGTATATTTGCCACTAGGCAATTTTTCTTTTCTTCAGCTCATAGCTGCTGAAATATTTTGTGGAGTGACATGATTTTAAATATTGAGGGGACAGTGTTGTGGCTATTAGCAGAGCTTTACCAGGTAATGGGGTTATTGATTTTTCTCATTTCTTCACATTTTATTTTCTCCTGTTACTCAGAGCTCTGTACCTGAGCTTTCTGTCACTTTAGAAGACAACCTGACCCAGCCACACAGCTATACCAGTTAAAGGTAAATTGAATTCTCAGACACACAAAAATGCCAAGTATTTAAATGCACCTAAGTGAAATTATAAGGAACATTCCTTGGCATTTCCCTAGAAATTACCAGATCAACTCTAGTCTAGGACAATAAGCAATCCAGTTCAGCTGTGTATTCCTCTCCAGACAAAGCCTGTGCCTATAAAAGGTCTGTACTGCTGAATGGGGAGAGGGTGACTTCACAGTGTGCAGAAACCAATAAAGCACTTTGAGTCTGGCAAAAACCCAGCCCATCATGTTTCCACAGATGTTAGTTTTAGTAAAAACAAATTCATATGCATTTGCCCAGAGAACAGCAGTGGAGGATCACTGTATTCTGCATTTACTCTTAGGTATTCAATATGTAGGTTGCTGAGCCCTCATCCTCCTCCAGCAAGCTCTTCTCACAGCTTTGCTCCCCTCTATCCTCCTGTTGTCACCCGCTCTGTGCCTCACAACCAACTTCATCTCCCCCTCCCTTTTCCTCTCTTTGCCTTTTCTACCAGAAGAGCTAGTGTAACAAAAGCTTCCAGTGGAAAAGGCAGTGAGTGCTGTTTTTGCAAGGGCCAAACCAGTCTGCATTGTGAGCAGCACAGTTGAGCTGGAGGGACACAGGAGATCTGGGTGTAGTCTCAGCTCTGTCCCCAGCTAGCAGGGAGACTTGGGATAGGTTACTTTCCTTAGGGACTCAGGTTTCCATGTGTGTAAAACAAGGTTCTCTATTTGAAAATCTATATTTGTAGAAACTCTAGAATATTATATAAAATCAAGAAATGAGGCTGGGAGTTGAAGGCATAGTTGTCCTAGAAATCATCTTTTTATAAAGCCTGAAAATAAAAGAGTACAATTTTTTTTTGTCCTGGCTAGTGTATCTCAGTGGATTGAGTGTGGGCTGTGAATCAAAGGGTCACTGTTGGATTCCCAGTCAGGGCATATGCCTGGGTTGCAGGCCAGGTCCCCATGTGAGAGGCAACCACACATTGATGTTTCTCTCCCTCTCTATCTCCTTCCCTTCCTCCCTCTCTAAAAATAAAAAAAGAAATAAATATTTTAAAAGTGCAATTTTTTAAATGATAAATCTATTTTATCATTTAAAACAATGAAAGCACCACACACACACATTCTAAAAATCAGAATTACCTAAAATCTCCTTGATCAGGATGAGATTATTCTTAAGAGATCTATCAGGTAACTCTTCCTTGAGAAGGCACCATGCCCAGAGAGGGTGTTAACATCCCAAAGTAACAGGTAAAAGCTTGCCTAAATATTGAACACATTCTATGCAATAAAAATAATTACAAAGGTAAAGATTTATGTGTCATATTTATCTTGAGTCTAATCAACCCAGTGAAGTAGAACAAACTTGGGACATGAAATTAGAACATCAGGATACTAGTCCTGACTCAACATTTTATTGACTATATTAGTCAAAGTCAATTTGGCTGCTCTCCATTTATTTCCTCCTCCCCAAGCACACACACACAAGCACACATACACATGCACACACACTTTTCCTCATTTCTTAATCCTGACTGTGTCCCTAGGGTCTGACTTCAATGGACTGCATCACCCTTACCCCTTGGCTTTTAGTTGGCTTTGGTTAGTGAGACACCAGCAGAAGATAGGAGGGTGGGAGTAGAGAAAGATATTTATTTTGCTCCCTCTTAGGATATAAATTTAGCAACTCCTAAGTTCCTCTATTTATAACCACAGCTCATTTTAGGTTTCTCTTCCAAGACTGTAGCTCTCACCTGGTTCTGGTAATAACAACATTTTCCCGTTGCCCTTACCTTCTGTGCAAGAGCCCTTGCACAGAAGGTAAGTCCTTAACAATTCCCCACCATGCATGCCCTGTTACTTCCCTTCCGACCTGCCTGCATTTGTGTAAACAGCCTCTTCGTTCAACTCCCTTCAGTTCCCCTGTTGAGTGCACCATCTGTTTCCTGCCAGACCTGCCTGATACAGAGTCTAGCCAGTAAACAGAACTCTCTTTAGTGTTTAACACAGAGCACTTTAATGCAGGGAGCTGGTTACTCAGGTAAAGGAATTGCTGAGAAGTCAAACAAGCCACTTAGCAACTCAGAGATTAGCAACAGCAGGAAAACACAAAAACAGTGAACAGGGGAACAAGCTATGACTCAGGCACTAAGGAACCAGAGTCAACCAGCCTAAGCTGGCACCAGATGGGTTTGTTCAGCAAGGGAGAAGACAGGACCCCAGTACTAAAAGCTATCTGGGGCAAGAAGGGTCGCCCAGCTGCTTCCTCCTTCCATCCAGTCTCCCACCCATTTCTTCCATTGGCTGGACTCAGCTGATGTGAAAGCCCCCTCAGAAGTTTGGCTTTCAGGGGTTGAGTTCCTGCCAGTCAAAGCAGAACAGGTGAAGAACAAGGACATTTGACTGAGAACAAATAGGTCCAGAACCAGCACAATGACCCTTGGACACCCTGTGACACCTTGGACCAGGACCACTCTGAACTTTCATGTTCTTATGTTCAAACAAAAGATACTTAATGCTTTATTTGCCTCATGGAAATGCTCTGAACCAAACCCAACAGAGTATGACGGAATGTTTGTTAAACTCCAAGGCGCTATATAACATAAAGTACCTCTCTGAGTGCTCTGGAGTTTATGGGCCTTTCAGTTTCTAATCCTATTACTTTTGTTCTCAGGTGACTGCTTTTAGTGTAATACCTCCACCAAAGAAATGCCTTCACCAGATCAATTCTTTTAAACGGCCTAGGAGTCTGTTTTGCAAAGAAAGGCAACTAAAGCTCAGACTTGGGAAATGCAATCATTTGCTTGTGAGTCAAGTCTACTGGCTACCAAAATCAAAGTGTCCTCAGGGGTGCCCAGCTCCTGTTTTCAGAAGCTAGGTTGTGTTCTTGAGCACATATGCCCAGCCCAGTGTGGCAAATGGAGAAAGTGTGCCCCCTTAGAAGTCCCCACACCAGTCAGTGTTTATGAAGGGACTGCAAAGAAGCAGATGGAAAACAGACACATTAGCTTTGCTGTCCCCTGGGCTCTCATGAAGCCAGAAGCCAAGCTGGGGAGTCAGCTGCCTGCACAGAATTGCTGCCCCCCAGCAGGATTTGTTCAGCACTTGCTTTATGAGGATAGTGGACATTGTCTCAGTACCTGCCTAATCCTTCCTCCTTCAGCCATTCATTTCTACCTTGGTCCTTTTCCCAGGTGGTTTCTTTCTTTCTTAATGTGAATCTTTTACAGGGATCTTAGTCCAGGCTTTTAATCACTGTACTAAATCACCTCAGTAGTGGTTCTGAAATCTGGTTGCATTTAGAAACATCTGTGGGGGTGGGGATTGAAAATCTTTTTTTTTTTTTTAATTTTATTTAGTTATTTTTCAAGTACAGTTTTTTGTCTATTTTTCCCATCCCAGCCTCCCCTGCCCCTTGCTCCCCACCTCCCTCCCATTTCCTCCCCCCCCCCTTAGTTCTCGTCCCCGTGTCCTTCCTATTTGTTCCTCCAAATCCCTCCCCCTTTTTCCCCTTAACTTCCCTTCCTTCTCCCCTCTGGTCACTATCCCCTTGTTCTCTATTTCAGTGTCTTTGTTTTTTTGGGTTTTTTTTTCTGCTTACTTGTTTGTTTTGTTGTTTAGCTTCCTGTTAAAGGTGAGATCATATGGTATTTGTCTTTCAGCACCTGGCCTATTTCACTCAGCATAATGCTTTCCAGTTCCATCCATGTTGTTGCAAAGGGTAGTAGCTCCTTCTTTCTCTCTGCAGCATAGAATTCCATTGTGTATATGTACCACAATTTTTGGATCCATTCATTTACTGATGGGCACCTAGGTTGCTTCCAACTCTTGGCTATTGTAAATTGTGCTGCTATGAACATTGTGGTGCATAGGTTCTTTGATATTGATGTTTTAGGATTCTTAGGATATAATCCTAGCAGTGGAATTGCTGGGTCAAAAGGCAGGTCGATTTTTATTTTTCTGAGAAAAATCCATACTGTTTTCCATAATGGTTGTACCAGTCTGCACTCCCACCAACAGTGAACTAAGGACCCCGTTTCCCCACAACCCCTCCAACATTTGTTGTTTGTTGCTTTGTTTATGATAGCCATCCTGACTGGTGTAAAGTGGTATCTCATTGTGGTTTTAATTTGCATCTCTCTGATAGCTAATGATATTGAGCATCTCTTCATGTGTCTCTGAATGTTCTGTATGTCCTCCTTGGAGAAGTGTTTGTTCAAGTCCTTTTCCCATTTTCTAATTGGGTTGGGTGTCTTCTTAGAGTGGA